CTCTCTCTCTCTCTCTCTCTCTCTCTCTCTCCATCCATCCATCCATCCGTTTAATCAATGTTTACTTAATATTTTTAATTTGTACTATGCATTTTTTGTGGTTATTAGCAGCATCACATATGCAATTCCAAAATGCACTGTGATGACCTAAGTTAAGAATTTAATCTATAATGTTCTATTTAAATAAAATGTATTACTGTATCTGTATTACTCAGTACTTGATTTTGTGCTGATTAGAGTGTTAGCTTGGCAACATGTTAACTTTATACTCTATAGAGCTGTTTAGTCGTGTTGTTAATTTGTAATGCTAATTCGCAATGGGAACCCTGGGGAATTTTTTAATGGCTTTTTAGAATAGTGTTTTTTGATTTATGAGTAAAATAAGGTTTGTGTTTAACATATAAAGTGACTGTCATGTTTTGTTCTACAACATAAATCATACACAGTCGTGACTTAAACATACATTTTAAAACAGTTCTGTGTTTGGAAATGCAAATTTTCTTCCTGGTTTTAAGACTACAATCTGAACAGATCTTTTTGAATAAACTGTAAGTGTTATCCAAGTCTGTTTTAACCGTGTGATATAGCTAAATATGTGTGCGTGTGATTTACCGTTGTACTGTCAATCATAAGGTAGGATGCTTATGATGCTTAAGCTGCTATGTAGACAACAGACAGGTTTCAAACAGAGCTAAAGACTAGTTGTAGTTTTCCAGATTTAACCCCACTGTCTCTGTCGGTCTTTTCAGGTTCTTGAGAATATTGAGGACATTAAACTGAAGGAGATGCATATATTTGAGTATAAGAAGAGAATCGCAGAAGCTGAAACAAAACTGAAGCAGCAGCAGAACCTCTATGAGGATGTCAGGACAGAGAGGAACCTCTTCAGCAAGAACCTGATTGAGGCCAAGGTAAGTGTGTATATGTGTGTGTGTGTAGACCTTCATCTTACAGATCTGCTCCCCATGAGCATGAGAGCAGACGTAGAGGCCAGTGGATCCATGGGATGACTTCTTTGGGAAATTCGCCCAACTGAAGCTTGTGTAGGGTGGTGTGAACATTAATCTTTGTCCAGGAAATCGCCCCATTTGCACGAAGTCGGAAATAGCAGGTAACCTCCCTGCTGTGTGACCTGAAACTATGAAAGTACATGAATGTAGCTTCTAGCTACACAAAACACATTTTCACGCATTGATGCATTGCGAAATGTGTCTGAATGCAATTCAAAATGCAACACAAGTTGCATTCTCACCATTGCCGTGAGGAGCTCGATAGTGGAGAATTAGTGTGAACTGTCATTGTCTATAGTCACTTTTCTCTTTCAGGTCAAGCAAATTAACTAAAGAAGAAGTCCACCATGAAATGAAAATGCTGTTATTGCTCACCCCCATGTCTTTCCAGTATGTTTCTGGCTTACGTAGAAGTTGAAATAGCAAAATTTATCCAGAAGTCATGAAACCTTAATTAGTCCATTCACTGATATCAGTAAAATCAAAATTTGAGTTTAGTGGCTTTTAGCCAATGTCTATTAGCTTTGAAGCCATCTGTATGCTAATATTCTCCCACAAACCTTACCTTTATATGCACTACCTTTTGGACTTCTACCAAGGCTGTGAAATGAAATGAAATGAAATGAAATGAAATGAAATGAAATAAAAATATTATTTTAATTCAAAATTGCTATTTTCTATTTAAATATATATTTTAAAATGTAATTTATTTGTGTAATGGCAAAGTTGAACTTTCAGCAGATCTAGTCTTCAGTGTCACATGATCCTTCAGAAATAATTCATGTTGATTTAGTGCCAAAGAAACATATTATCAATGCTGAAAACAGTTGTGCTGCTTAATATTTTTGTGAAAACCTTGTTACATTTTTTTTTCTGGATTTTTTTTATATGTCCCTGCTGAATAAATCATTGATTTAAAAAAAAAAAAATTTTTTTTTTTGATTGGTAGTATCTTTTGAATTGTACTATATATATGCATTTATGCATAAATATTCTTTCAGGAAAATGGATCAACATATTGATGACTCATCCTGCACTACACAAATTTTTACCCAATCAGATTCCCTTTAGAATGAGAATATTCAGCATCCGAATGACACATGCAAACCGCTAGCAAATCATGGTTCATAACTGTGATATGAACAAAGTCTATTGCCTATATATATTTAAAAAAAAAAAGAAAAGCCCAAAAGTTTCTGTATCAATAGAAAATATGTCAACACAGGAAAGGAAGCCTTGAAAGCTGCAGTAAGAAACTCAAGTGTAAGACTTATTTTTCAGGTCTATAAAAGACTGTCCTTTGTTGTCAGTTTTTTTGCTGATGACCCATTCCTGCTGTGTCACTTTTTTTCACTGCACTGAAGAATAAGTGTGTGTTTTGAGTGTGAATCTGCTAGGGCGGTTGTCTACCTGTCTGCCCAGCTGTCTTTGTGTATAAGTTTGGCCAATTTCTCACACACCTCCGTGTGTTCACTTCAAGGATCAGAATGCTGAGATGAAACGCAAGGTGAAGATCGTGAACCACATGTTCGAACAGCTAAAAGATGAAATCACCACAAAAGAGGTGGCTCTAGACAAGGAGCGCCAGGAGTTCCAGCGTGTAGAGAGAGAAAGGGAAAATCTCAAGGTAACCCATTTCATCCTTTACTGCCACATGTCTCTCGCCATCTTAGTTCTGTATACTTTCAAATCTAACATCACTATGCCTAGTCAGTATCTTTACTAGGCATGATGGGACACGTTTTCAATGAAGCATGTAGTGATGCACAACTTTGTATTTTAAACCAATGAGATTGCACAGATGGGCTTCACAGTGCAATGTGCAGAAATAGAAACCATGCAAAATGTTTTAGGTCATTCCAACACCAGTTATGATATATTAATAAATATTCATAATAAAATTATTAAATTAATTAATATTATTAAATTACATGAAAAGTATAACATTTTCACAAAAATAATAATACCACAATTGCAGTTCACAATTTGTTCGTACTTACAGTATTATTCACTCAGTTGCAGAGTTGAATGCATTTTTTTACTTCATTAAATTGTGCAGCATTCAAACAATTTAAAAATGATCTGAGTTTATACTGAGTATTTTCAGTAATTCTTTTACTATTGTGGAGTGATATTTGGTTTACATAATTTAAAATTAAATTAAATTAAATTTAATTTAATTTAAAGGGGTCCTATTATGCTCTTTTACAACGAGACTAACTAAAGTTGAAAAAGTTATTGCCTCATTCAACCACTTGGTTCAAAAACACTGATTCAAATTATCTGGCAAAAACAAACAACACAATTCTAAAATTAAGTTATTCAATATTAAATTCTTGTTTGTTGAACTATTGTATAAAAGTAATGTCACAATCACAATTCTGTTGTTTTTCTGACTATGATCGTAGCTGTGATTACCTGATATGCATCCTTTATTTTTACTTCTTTAGCTGGTTGATTATTAAGGGTGAAGCTGATGTTTTTTTTTTTTTTGTGTGTGTGTGTAAACACAGTGATAGACTGGTCAACTGTCCTGAAAGGTGCTCATTTGTGGTGCTTGATATGACCAGACAGCATAAGAAAAGCAACCTTGCATTCAACTTTGAGGAGCTATTTTTCATAATCCTTTCATTATTACTTTCCAGATCTTTGTGCTTATTAAATACAATGGCACGACTCTTCTTCTGTCTGTCACAAGCTTTCAATATCACCCTCGCAAAGGATAATATAGGAATATCAAATAGGATGGCACAAAAAAAAGGAAAGAAATAAAAGAAAACACGAAAGATCACTCCATATTTTATGACAGAAATATAAATGTGAGTTCAGAGAGGGCTTTGACTCTACGCACTTTCAAATTCAACATCTGACATGAAAGACTTAATGAATATGCAATGCTTTTTGACGGATATTGGAGTTGTAAATTATATATGACCTTGTTCTGAGGTATAGACTGAGGGGTGTGGTCACAGAGAGGGAGACAAAGCAAGAGAGAAACAGCTTGAGTATGTGATTGCCCAGCACTGACTATATTGTACAGTACATGTGTGTAATGTAATGAAAAATGTTAAACCATGGAAAATGTTAAACCAAGAAACCAGCATAAAATCTCAGACTTTTGGACCCCACTGTATGTTAATACTGTATCTGGAGCATGGTGAAATCGCTCCTCCAATCCTGAACAGATTGTTTCAGAGGAGTGTAGACCAGTGGTCCGAACAGATGGTTTCAGACTGGAAGGTTCCTCTACGCATGGGGTAGAGGGTTGTGGAGTTCTGGACGACAACGGGTGGAAAATTTCGACTCGCACAGATCACAGATTCTGAGCTGTCTCAGAACTAAATAGATCCACGGAAACTTGACAGTCTGTTTTGATTAATCCAAATGCTGTCTCGGCAAGCGTTTAGTCACATGCTCTTAAACATCCTCTTCTGGTATCTGACTGCGTTAAGCACGGTTGAAGATCTTTAAAAGCTCATTCTGGGTGAAATATGGTGTGTGCATTAGTAAGGAACTAGCCAGAAAGATTCATTAATAAAAGAAAATGGGTCTCGAGGGCTGGTGGGCAGCTACCCAACTTAAGCAGCTTACCCAGCATGCCACAGGAGGTGCTGTCTGGCTCCCTGACTGGTTCTCAGGAAGCATGATGGCTGTGATGTTCATCTCTCTTTTGAACCATGAAGTGAAAACACAAAGGCAAAACACCCAATGGAAGAGAAAAGGAGAGACAAGACCAAACGATGCACTGAAGACTGAAACTTCGTGAAACTTTACAGAGCAAACTAAAGTCTGTGAACTCGACAGATGCTGACGCTCTCACGGTAGATATCAACATAATCTTTGGAGAGCACGCTTCACTCTTGCTAATCAAAGTAAGAGGCATGTTTGAGCCAAGCTCAGCGCTCCCTGTGTTTAGATTGCTGTACTAATGAAGGAAAGCCACAGAGAACAGTAGAGAAAGACCAGTCATCATCAAGAACAGAAGAGCACTCGCAATTACTTCTAGAGGACGAGAATTTCAGACAAGATCCTTTGGTAAACATTATGCATAGTCTGGTAATTCATAATCATGAAGACTGAGTCATAAAGGTCTGTACATCCTGCAGCAAAAATAGCTGAAGTAGAACTTTCAATCTGTTCTTTCTTTCGTTTGTTCTTTCTTTTTTCTCTCATTCATCCGATTAACTCCATCCATAGCTGTTTTTTAATGACGAGTCTGGCCTTATGCCAAGTAGATATTCAAGTCAATGCTTGCAGTTATTTCAGTTTTTCACATTATTAACATTTTAAATCAACAATTACCAATATTTACACTACCCTTCAAAAGTTTGGGATTGGTAAGGTTTTTTAAAATGTTTTTGAAAGAAATTTTTTATACTTAAGGGCCACAAAAAAAAAAAACAGTAATATTGTGAAATATGGCTACAATTTAAAATAAAATGTAAAATTTTACAGTTTTAATTGATTTATTTCTGTGATTCTTTGATGAATAGTAAGTACAAAAGAACAGCATTTGTTTTGGTATAGAATTTTTTTGTAACGTCTTTATAAAGTATACCTGTATATACTTGTTTCTGTATATGTAATTATAGTTTAACTCATTGATTCTTTTTATTTGTTGAAAGTCATTGTGAATTTCCAATTATAATCCATCTTCCCCCTGGACAATGAGGTAGTGTCAAGGTAAACAAGTTACTTATCTGAAAAAGTGTAGCAATTATACCTCACTAAAAAGGGAAAGTAGTTTTGAATTAGATTAGATTAGTTTCGATTAGGAATTTCAAAGAAAAAAAAAATATTTTAAATAATATTCCCCCAAATCGTGTGTTTATGTTTTAGCAAAACACATTTTTTTAACAGAAAAATATTCTCTTTTACTAGTAGGAATGTAGAAATTCTGATGTTCAGAGTTTTAATACAACAGGTGTTATGAATTCTGCCATAGATTTAGTATTTTTTTTACACAACATTGTAACTATTTTAATGAGATTTAGCAACATTAGGGTCTACCAAAAAAAAGAAAAAAAAGAAACTAAAATGAAAGTAAATGCACAATTAACAAACACTTTAAGTAATTGCCTCTTCTACTTGCTGTAACTGTTCAATCACTGTGTAAAATTGTGTTGCTTACTCATTTTTCCTGTCATCCGAGTATAATTTTTTCAGGCATCACTTTACAAACAAAAAGCAAAAGGAACTTAAATAGACTGATGGGAAAGAAAATCGGAGCAAAGAAGATCGACAAACAACTAGAGAGAAAGAACGAGAGAGAGAAATGACGAACAAAGGCAATCTTTCATGTTTTGAGGTGCCGCAGGGACATGATGCAGAAAACTTTAAATTGATAGGGAGTTCACTGCAGGCTTATGTAACCCTCTCTGGCATTTCCTTTCTTTCACCTTCATTCATTTGTTTTCTTGGTTTTTGTGAGGCTGTGTCTCACCCTTTGCCTTTTGTACTCTAAAGCATACAGGTGCCCCAGAGCTGCAATTTACCTCCGCTTTCTTCTCTGGTTCCTCTGCCTTCTCCTTCCTGTTTCCCACCACTTCTCAAGTCAAAACCATCATCCGTTTCCCTCTTTAACAAGAGGAAGAACGATCCAGAACATGTGAATGAAGACAGGCTTTGCATTCACAAATCTTGTGAAGCATTTTTAGAGTTATACCATTTGCCAAAACTAGTGATGCTACTGCCTATATTTTTAGTAGTCTTTTTAAAACCCTCTAGCTTTTCCCAAAACAAGTGGTATGGTGGCGGAATGCTACAAATCCTGCAAGTTTCTTCTAAACTGTCTACTCTCTTTATGTAGAATTGGGAAATCTAAATCATTTTAGACTGATTCAGTTCATTCAAGTGGTTCACTTGTGGTTTACATGAATCATCTGAACCATCAGTTTGTTTGAATGACATCTGTCAAGGCATGGAATATATTGAGAAGCAAGTAAACAGTCAGTTTTGGAATTTCATGTTTTTGGAAGTGGGAAAAATAAGCAAGTGAATGAGCGAGTGAATTTGACAAAGACCAAATAGTGAAGACTGGACGACTGGGTCAGAGTATCTCCAAACCTTCTGGGAGTCGTAGTGCAATAAAGGACAATAATAAAGGTCTGGAACAAGAAACAATTTAAACAGGTAGCCTGGTCTGATGAATCATGTTCTCTTTTAGATCAGGTGGATGGATGGCTGGGTATGTGTGTGGGAAGGGATGGCAGCGGGATGCACTATGGGAAGAAGCCAGGCCGATGGAGGCAATGTTATGCTCTGGCCAATGTTCTGCTGGAAACCTTGGGCCCGTAGATTGTAAATATAAATTATCATTAAATAATCAATAATTAAAAAAATTCAGTACTTAAATAGATTCAGTACAATTAGCAATTCTTCTTTACCAGAGTCTGTTCTCTAAACTAAAGAGTAGCTTTACTGTAATTTTACTGATTTGAGAGTAGCTTGTATTTTGGGATGCTTCAGCTTCAAAGCAACTTCCTAAACACTGCTAACATAAGAAGTCATGTTTCATTTTTCAAAATGTCACCATGTCCATTTCACCCTCTGTGCTCTGAGGAGTATGCAATTACATAAAGTGGTTGGAAGCCTTTTATCATGTCGTTAACAGTCATTTCTGTTTAG